CCATCCATCCATCCATCCATCCATCCATCCATCCATCCATCCATCCATCCATCCATGGTGGGTAAAAAGGTGGGTAAAAATTTGGATAAAAATGTATAAAACTGGTGGAATAATCCTAGGAAAAGAATTACATAAGGGAGGAAATTGTTGGGTATGCATTCTGTCATTTTATCCATCATAAGTATGACACTTTCCTAGATGATTACAGATGAAAGATAGCAATTTCTGAGGAAAAAACCACATCATTTCCCTCAAATGTTGTATCTGGAAGCATCTTTAGTATCAGAAGCTGCACGTTTTATCAATTTTCAACTCAATACAGGATCTCTGGAAGAGCGCCTCTGGAATATAAAAATCCAATACTATTTCCAGGCCTCTAGTGAAGGAGAAACAGTCACGCCATATTGGCAACCTGATCCCCTAGCTGACTATTCATGTAATCAGAGAATTTTTCCTGAACTGCAATTTGAATTTTCTTCCTTGTAATTTTAATCCCATGGTTCAAATCCTGCCCTCTTAGAGCAATAGAGATTAAGTGCATTCCTGCTTCCCAGGAACAGCCCTTCAGATATTTACATAACAGAATAACAGAATTGGGAGGGACCATGGAGGTCTTCTAGTCCAACCTTTTGCTCTTGCCGGAGGCCCTGTACCAATGGCATTCCAGATGAGTGGCTGTCCAATCTCTTTTTAAAAGAATCCAGTGATGAAGCACCTACAGCTTCTGAAAGCGAGCTGTTTCACTGGTTAATTTTCCACGCTGTTAGGATGTTTCTCCTTAGTTCCAAGTTGCTTCTCTCCTTGATTAGTTTCCTTCCCTTGTTTCCGCTCTTGCCTTCTGGTGCTTTGGGAAATAGGTTGATATATCTCCATTTTACATCTCCGTTCAGTCACGGGTTTTTTTGCAAGCTAAATGTACTTAGATCCTTTAACTGTCTTTTACAGAGGATTTCTAGGACCCTTCCCCATTTTAGCAAACCTCATCCTAATTTGCTCCATTGCCTCTTTTGAACTGATTTATAAATGCAGTTACAAGGTTTAAACATCGTATGATTGAATATATTTTTGTCTATTAGTGTAATCTAATGCCATTCTAATTCTAATTATGTTTCAGCACAGTGAGGAAGATGAGTAGGGATGAGTAAGCTCTGTGCTGGCTTTTGAACAAGTCTAAGTAGCGATGGGATAGAGTGGGTTAGTGATTATGATGTTGGGCTGGAATTAGAATAATGCAGGCTGAAATCCACACTCAGATAGAACATCTACCTGGATAGTTTGGTGCTTATTACCATGTTTTCCCCAAAATAAGACAGGGTCTTATTTTCTTTTGATTCCCTCATAAGGCTTGGCCATAAGGCTTGACCTTATTTTCAGGGAGGTCTTANAACCGGTTTGGTAGATTTGACGAACCGGTTCTACCGAATAGGTGCGAACTGGTAGGAACCCACCTCTGTTGCTAATGTAAATTGAACATAAAACGAATGGTTAAGAGAGAAGCCTTACCTCTATAGGACTCTGAGTCAGAGGACTGAAAAGAAAAATACGAGGTTCTTGCACGTTTCCTGGATCCGCTGGGAACTAAAGGCAGAAAAACACAACACATGATAAGCAGCACTGGAAGTTTGCTCAGAACTGCCCTCTCTGATGGCATACGAGCCATCGCCCCAGTTCAGCTCTGTTGTGCATGCGTGTACACCTCCCGGCAGCCAGCTGGTCTTCAGGTCTCTGCAATGCATGCGTGGGGGGGTGGAGCATGTGCAAGTAGGGGGGGTTGTGCATGCATGAATGGGGGGCACATGCAGGGGATTGTGCGCACATGCACAGTGGGTGGGTCATGTGTATGGGTCGTGCAAGTATGCATGGGTGGCAGATCATTTGCGCAGGGGGTGTGCACATTGCATTTTGGGGCTTGCTTGCTGCTTGCTTGCTTTGGTCACTCCAACCGAAAAAGGTTAGCAATTACTGGCCTAGAAAGATTTCTAAACAAAAAGCACAATTACCGTTTTCAGTCTTGTGCACTGGATCTTCTGCAGGCCTCTACAGACACAATAAGAAAGGTTGGTTAAACCGTAAATGAAAAGTTGTAGATGTCAAGTTTAAAATAAAAATAAAAATAGCTAGGATGGACCTTCAGACTGTCAAGCTCCTTTTGCCAAGCCTGTCACTGATATCTTGACCCAGCACAATTAAACCAGTTTCCTAGGCAAGAAACAATTTGTTTATGTAAGTCTAATTATTGCAAAAAAGGGGGGAAGCCAAAGAAAGGAATTAGTTGGTGGCTCTCAGCATAAAGTTGCAAGTGCCTTTTTAGTGGCTCTAATCCATAGTTTTTTCTTCCTGCTTTTCCATGAAGACTTTGCACAACACTTGGTAGTCTTGAAGCTCAGCCATTGTTGAGCCTTTGCACAGTGTGGTTGTTGAATGTTTATATTCTATGTGACTGTCCATATCAATCAAAGTTTTTGAAAGTACACTGGAGATTATGCCAGATTCCCCACAGTGGCACAGTGGTTAGAGTGCAGTACTGCAGGCTACTTCTGCTGACTGCCGGCTGACTGCAATTTGGCAGTTCAAATCTCACCAGGCTCAAGCTTGACTTTGTCTTCCGTCCTTCTGAAGTCAGTGAAATGAGGACTCAGATTGTTGGGGGCAATAGGATGACTCTGTAAACCACTTAGAAAGGGCTGTAAAGCACTGTGAAGCAATATATAAGTCAAAGTGCTATTGCTATATAGGCTTCAACTGCCTTAATTCCTAGTTAGTAAGGCTAGACTGGAAGTTGAATTCCTATACATCTAGATGGTACTTCCTGTGGAAGACAATGCCACCATTTTTAGATGAAACCATATCTTCTCTTCTTGAGCCAAAAAGAACAACAGTTCACCATACCCACAACAAATTTCATTAACCTTATTGTTAATTTACATAATGGTAATTATGAATATGTGTTTTCCATTCATACCAGGCATTCAGTGAAAACATCTTTCTGGCTGCACTATAAAAAACCTGAGAGTGTGATGTGAACTGGAAGTAGCTCAATTCAGACGTTATTCTGAATTCAATTAAAGGAGAAAGAGCAATCAAACCTGCTATTCTAGGTGTGGTCTTATTAAGGCTTTATAGAGTGGTATTACTACTTCACGTGATCTTGATCGAATCCCTCTGCTAATGCAATTTAGGATTGCATTGGCGTTTTTGGTTGCTGCTGCCCACTGCTGGCTCATATTTAGCTGGTTGTCTCTTTCTACTAAACTTTATTGGATACATCATATCAGCACGAATCGAAGCAAAACCAACTCTAATTAATCCCCGTGGTTTTTGCACAGTTAAAGAATCAATTTCTCCTCCCCTCATTAGTTTGTGTCACATTGTCCAATTAGCAGTCCCAATATTGTTTTAGCAACAGTAGAACCTTTAGCCTTAATAACCCAGATGGCTGAACAACCTTAGTTCCCACAGAACTTGGATTCTTGTGGTTGTCTGCTGTCTGGAACCAGCATTCCACAGGTGGCTCCCCTTCCCTCCCCTTTCAACCGTTGAAATCAGCACAATTTCACTTTGAAGTTGACACAGGCATTCAAATAAACTGACAAGCCCCACTTCGCCCACCATGTGGATCCATGTACACCGAGTAAATTATCTTAAACAAATGCAAGAAGGATGGGAGGAGTTTCAGTTCTTACCTTGCAAGATCGTTCCTTCTTGAAGACAAACATGGGCTGCGCAATCACTGAACTATCTGGAAGCAGAACAGAAAATCCCAACATGAAATCATGTAGACCAGTTTGTTGACTGCAGATTTCTATTTTTTTTCTTTTTTCTCTTGAAAAAAGCAATTATACGGCCATCAAAATCACATTGTTTTTAAATCACCTTTTCTATTTAGGGACACCAATATAGCAATAGCGCCAGCACTTAGACTTAAAGGCAGCTTTACGGTGCTTTACAGCCCACTCTAAGTGGCTTACAGAGTCAGCCTATTGCCCCCAACAATCTGGGTCCTCATTTTTTTTAATTAAAGTTTTTTAATTTTCCATTTTCATAACATGTAATCATGTAACATGTAATCACACATAGCCAACATCATATTGTATTATTAAATGTTTACATCAATTCATCTTACCAACAACTCCCAAAAACCAATTATTGGCTCTTCTGCTCTCCGTACACCATATATGTACCTTGTCCATCACTTTCTTCTCCCTCTCTCTTTTCCTCCTTCCTACCTCCTTTCTTCCCTCTGTCGTCCTTCTCTTTTTTTAAAACTTATATACCGCTTCATAGGGCTTTCAGCCCTCTCTAAGCGGTTTACAGAGTCAGCATATTGCCCCCAACAATCC